GTTTCTTTTTAAGTCACTGCTGTTGTTACCAATCACCTTCAATCTGTGCCATCTGTGTCTTGCCCCTTCCACCAATGGGGACAGTTTCCCCCTTTCGACTCTGTCCACACTCCTTAGATTTTGAACATCCCGATCTAATCTCCTCTCAGCTGCTGGCTCTACATTAAAACTTTTCCACTTTCTACATTTATTCCACGTGAATGCTGAGGACACTCAGTCCTGGATTGATTCTCTTGAATGCTTTCTGCCTCTTCTCTGATGTCTTCTCAGTGTTCATTACTTATCAATTCATTAATATATATTGGGAAAGGCCAGTGACCCAGTACTGATCCCTGAGGAAGTAGTGCCTACAAAGCTTACTCCCGACTGAAAAGTATCAATTTCCTAGATAAGCAGCCTATCCAATATGTCATCATCAATTTCAATTCCATCAAGTGACTGAACTCCTGTGTCACCTCCTCAGTGAAAATCATTGCAAAATATTTATATAATATCTGAACGATACCCCCGCTTGCACAAATGCATTTTATATTCCGCACTCATCTTCACTCCTCCTTTAAATGCTCTTACTGTTTATATGCCTACAGAAGAGTTTGTGATTCATTTTTATCTTTGCTGCCAATTTATTTTCATAATCCCTCATTGTTTCTCTCATTTGCTTTTCCAGCTGTCCTCTGAACCTTTTATATTTAACCTAGAGCTCTGGTCTATTTCCTATCCATACTCTGTCATGAGAATACTTTGTCTTAATTTCTAACTCTTTTGTCTCCCAGAAAGCTTTGGATTTGTTTATTGATTTTTCCCTTTGGTGACCGCGTGTCTTTATTAATACTTAAACACCTCTTCTTTGATGTTAACTCATTGAGTAGTCACTGCTTACCCTGTCAAACTTTGACTCTAATTATTCAGTCCTTACCCTGCCTGAGTGGGTGTTCACCCAGTTAATAATTCATAAAGTGGACCATACTTTGCCATTTTCCAGAGTCAGCCTACTCTGCCCCTAAATGTTCTCCTACTAATACTTGCCGTCGACCTAAAACCAGGTCCCACTGTGACTTTTATTCTCTGTTTATACATGAAAATATAAACACAGGACTTCAATCAGGATAAAAAAAGACTTTATTAATTTAACTGGCTGAAGGCAACTGTCTGATTGACCGGCAAGGCAGTTGTTGAGAATACATATCGATAGTTACGGACTATTGAGGAGCCTGAGCATAACTGAAGTCAATGACAATCGGAGGAAAATTCTCTGGTCATTGGAGGCATGCCTGGCACATGGGAAGATGGTTGTGCTTGCTAGAGGTCAGTCATCTCAGCTCCAGGACATCTCTGTAGGAGTTCCTCAGGGAGTATCCTTGGCCCAACCATCTTCATCTGCTTCATCAATGACCTCCCATCCATTATAAGGTCAGAAGTAGGGAAGTTCATTTATGATTGCACAATGTTCAGCACCATTCCTAACTCTTCCAATATTAAAGCAGTTCATGTCATGTTCGCGCTGTCAGGTTTGCAGATGACACCAAAATTGGTGGAGTGGCTGACGGTGAGGAAGGATGTGAAAGGATGCAGCAGGATATAGACCAGTTGGAAAGTTGGGTGGTGTAATCGCAGATGATGTTTTATCCAGACTAGTGTCAAGTGATGCGTTTCGAGAGATCAAATACAAGAGGAAAGTATACTGTAAATGGCAGGATAATTAGGAGCGGTGATATACAGAGAGATCTTGGGATGCAATTCCATAGCTTCCTGAAAGTGGTAAAACAATAGGATAAGGTGGTAAAGAAGGCATACGACATGCTTGCCTTCATCGGTGGGGGCATTGAGTATCAAATTTGGCATGTCATGTTGCAGCTATATAAAACTTTAGTGAAGCCACATTGGGAGCATTGTGTGCAGTTCTGGTCCAGACGTGGAGGCTTTGGAGAGGGTCCAAAAGAGGTTTAACAGGATGTTACTTGAAGTGTATTCACTATAATGAGTGGTTGGACAAACATGGATTGTTTTCGCTAGATCATTGGAGGTTGGGGGGGCAACCTGATAGAAGTGTATAAAATTGTAAGAGGCATTGATAAATGGATAGTTAGAGAGTTTTTCCAAGGATGGAAATGTCAAATTCGAAAGGACATAAGTTTAAAGTGAGAGAGGGTAAGTTTAAAGGAGATATGCAAGCCCAGTACTTTTCCGCACAGAAAGTGGTAAGTGCCTGAAACATATTACCAGGGGATGTGATAGAAGCAGACACAATAGCAACGTTTAAGAGACATTTATACAGACACATGAACAAACTGGGAACAGAGGGATACACACCATGTGCAGGCAGATGGAACTAGTTTAGAATGGCAACATGGTCCGCACAGACATGGTGGTCTGAAGGGCTTGCTCCTGTGATGTACTGTTCTATGTTCATAATGCAGTAAGACCTGGACGATATCCAAGCTTAGGCTGACAAATGGAAAGTAACAGTTACATCAAAAAAGTACCAAGCAATGATCACCTCCAATAAGAATGAATCTAGCCATCACCACTTAACATTCAATGATGTTGCCATCATTGAATCCCACACCGTAAACAACCTGAGGGTAACCTTTGACCAGAAACTGAAATGGAGTTTCTTTTCATTCAATCACAGGACAAAGGCATTGCTGGATAGGCCGGCCTTTATTGCCCATCCCTAATTGCCTGGAATGTAGTTAAAAGTCAACCACATTACTGTGGGTTTGGAGTCACATGTAGGCCAGACCAGGTAAGGGGCAGTTTCCTTTCTTAAGGGACACTAGTGAACCAGATGGGTTTTTCAGACAATCGACAATGGATTCATGGACATCAGTAGACTACTAATTCAGGTGTTTTTTTTAATTATGGTATTCAAATTCTTCCACCTGCCATGGCAGCATTCAAATATTATCTGGGTCTCCGGATTAAGAGCCCAACGATAATATCACTAAGTCATTGCCTCCCCATATGATTATATGGACTCACAATATAAATACAGTGGCTACAAGATCAAGTCAGAGGCTAGGAATACTGCAGTAAGTACTTCACCTCATGCCTCCCCAAAGCCTGTCCGCTATCTACAAGGCACAAGTCAGATGAAATACTCTCCACTTGCCTGGATGGGTACGGCTCCATCAACAGTCAAGAAGCTCGACACCATCCAGGATAAAGTAGCCCGCTTGATTGGCATCCCATCCACAAATACCCACTCCCTGCAGCACGCTCAGTAGCAGCAGCATCTACAGGAAGCATTGTAGACATTCACTGAAGCTCCTGAGACAGCATCTTCCAAACTCATGACCACTACATTCTAGAAGGACAAGGGCAGCATATGCATGGGAACATCACACCCTGCAGTTTCCCTTCAATCCAGTCACCATTCTGACTTGGAAATAAATTACTGTTCTTTCACTGTCACTGGGTCAAAATCCTGGAATTTCCTTCTTAAGGTCATTGTGTGTCTATCTACATGAACTGAAGTGGTTCAAAAAGGCAGCTCACCACAACCTTCTCAAGGGCATCAAGAGATGGAAAACAAATGCTGGCCCAGCAAGCAATGCCCACAAGCCATGAATGAATAAAATAAAACTATATGGGAAATTGAAACTATAGCAACAATTTCTAAATTATGGAGGTTTTTAATCATGGATTTGAAGGACTTTTTTGTGGGTTTCTTAGAAATGAGAACAACAGTAGAATGTGAGCTGTTATTCATCTATTGATTGCAGGATGTCAAATGGATTTGGAAATGCTTTCAAGAAGATAAGCATGAGTGTTTATTGCTCTTAAATGCTGAAGTCCTGGAAGAAGATCTCTGTACTGACAGTTGTCTGGAAAATATTTTCGGGCTTGGGTTTTAGTTTCACAAAACGAGGGGAGACAAAGAAGAATGAAAATGAAATCCTGAACCTTACAGCTGTATGGCTGTAAGAATATCACTCTCCTCATCTTTGTGAAGTATGTGGGAACCTGATATAGCTTCTACAATTCAGGATTCTCACTACTTTCAAAACCCTGAGAGGATGAACTGTGGCCATTATTCAAACCTTAATTTCCTTCTGGACTGAAGGCTTGTTTGGTAGATCAATTTGCAGCTATCAGAGATTTGATTTCGCCAATAAGAAACCCTGATGGATATTGAGATTTCATCAGATTTTATCCTTTGTCTTTCAGACTATTAGCTAATAAGAGTGTGTTTTCCTTTCATCCCTTAAAAAATAATCATCTGTGTCTTTTATGTTGTGTACGTACATATAGGACGTTGTGTAAGGATTAAGAAGTATTTTGGATTAAAACTTAAGTGTTCACCAACTTGCTAGAAGTTTTGAAAATGATTTTTGTTTAATAATTGTTTTGAATTCATTAAGAAACCTAACCAGAGTCTCCTTGAGTCTGGAGAGCTCTTGGTGATTGAAACAATTAGTTCTTCTTTACATGTTACTTGTATATAAATATCAATGGTGCATTCTGAGATGTTATCAGGAATTACAGGGAATAGACTGTCCATACAATGCTCAAAGAGAAGAGGCCACTTTCAGCAACACTTACTCTTGGGCCCCTCAGTTATAACTCTGGTCCTCCTCTCTGTGTTAAGCCAGTTTAATGCACTGTTATCTTTCCAACCTTTCTGTTTTATTGTCATGAGGCGCACTAAATGTTGAAAAATAAGGTTCTCCAGAACCTGGGTTATTATTGTGGACCTGCCTTTAGTCCCAGCCCCGTGTGGGCTGTTTCTTGAATGTATCACTGAGTTCACTGACTTGGCTTCGGTTTTCAGTCTCTGAGGAACTTCAGGCAAAGGAGAATGGGATGGGTTATCATGTGCCTCATCTCCTCTCTGAACTTTGCCTGGGTGAGAGTGTAAACACAGGTGTTGGTGCAGGAGCTCAGATACATCAGCATGTCTCCTACATGGGTGAGTATTGCATTCCTGCTCATGCCTAGCAATATCTCCTGGAAAACAAAGTCCACCACTCTGGCAATCCACAGAATGATGAAATTGCCTGATATGGCAAAGAGCAGGATGGTGGACTTCCTTCGATTCTCCATCTCCGGGTCTCCATCCTTCCCATTGTGGCCTCGTCCCCGGAGTGCCTTGCGGACACGACTGGCCACCAGGATGTATCTGACAGTCAGAGCATTCAGCAGTAAGATGGACACGTAGGGAATGATGGGAGTTAAGACTGTGCTGGACCACATGTATACTGCCCAAACGGATTTGCTGCACACATTACGGAGTCTGCAGCCTCTGTAAGGAGCATATGGATAATCAGGTTCATAGGTGAAGTAACGCGGGATATTTCTCAGGTAGCTCACTGTGCAGATGGTCAGGATTACTTGGGCCGCTGTTCTCTCCGTGCAGTATCGGACCTTCCACTTGGGACAACAGACAATGACAAAGCGATCAAAGGTGAAGGCGACAGTGAGCCAGACTGAGCTGTCCACTACTGCCGCATTCATGATGCTGTTCAGACTGCAGACGTGGTAGTGGTTGAGGAAGGAGATGGGGAAGTGAAGAGATCCCAGGTAGCTCAGGATCACACAGAAGATGATGACCAGCAAATCCGCCACTGCCATGGACACCAGGTAGCGGCCAGTACATCTGGAGAGGCCACATCTTCCTCGGAACAGAATCACAATGGTCATTAGGTTTGCTGAAGGAGATGGAAAGAGAGGAGTAGGTTATCAATGGTTCACGCATCACACATTAATGGATTCAACTCATTTGGTAAGAATGGGGAGGAAGTGAGCCAATATATAGGATGGTGTCTGTGAGAAAAAAAGATCTAAGTGAGTTACAATTAATCATTTGTTCCTCGTTTCGTGAATTGCTCTTACTGATTTCCTCAGCGTTTCTATTGTGTCACTCCCTGCATTAGTGAAAGATCGGCTGTTCTCCATCTCTTGTCATTCTCCCCTTCTCACTAAGCGAGCTCACATTATCATTACCAGCTCTCATCACTGTGATTCCTTATTGCTTCATCATTTGCATTATTCACTCTCAATCTCTCACCATTAAGGAATGTCTGTCATTTCTCATGGCACTCCCTTCATTCAGCTCCCACTATCCAAAATGTCTCCAATGTTTAACTCTCAAACCAGTTCCCAACTCCCAGTCACTGTGCTTTCATGAATTGGCATTCTGAATCTGTGGGAGATCATTGCAATGAGTCCCTGTTTGTCAAGGATCCAACCTGTCCAATTCTCTCTCACTTAGTAACTTCCCATTGTCAATTACTCCCTCACTAAAGTTCACATTGATGTGAACTCCTCATCACTCATTGTCCCAGTTTTCCAACACTCCATTCCGCCAAACTCCTTAGCCCAGAACTTATCTTTCTAATTCCCTCCTGGTCACTCAATGGATTCACCTTCTTATCTTCCTGCCCAGAATTCAATGGATAAGATATATCTAGTGCAAACACATACGTTGCCCAATTTAAGTATCACACAGTAAGCTCCCATTTCTCCATGTTCGTCATTACTCAATGAATTTCTTCTATCCAGTTATTATCTGTTAGTAAGTTTACATTATCCCATCTGTCAGGGGCTCTATGGCACATTGGTATTTGATCTTACTTCTGAGCCAGAGGCTGAAGTACCATCTCTAGCAGAGGTTGCCTTAACATGTTGAAGTGTGTTGATATCTGGTTTTTCCATCCAATGTCACCTGCCTCAGAGCTCCCGTTGTCATCTTAATGATTTGCCAACTGAGCCCACATTCACCGCTATCAATTATTCAGCTATTGATCTCTGGTAAACAACTTTGTATTTCACTTACTGGGCCATTTGCTCCATCCTCCTATTGGATCTCCAATCTCTCGTCACTCTTTCAGTTACTTGATCAATTTCCTTTCCCATTCCAGTTTATGGAGACCTGGCAGCTCCTCGATTTTACCTGTTCTTTTTTGGAACTCTTCTTTCCCAACTTTACTCATCTTGTAACCATGTCTTTGTCATCACCACTAGTTCTAAAGTGACTATCTGTTTGTGGCAGCTATTGACCTATCTAACCATCAATGCTTCCAAAGTCAGATAACAAGGTGCTGATTTTATTTTTGTACATCTATTATTTGAATGCTACTTTCTCCCTTGTAAGCATTGTTGTTAAACTCTCTGTACATTCAGTGGTGCAGTTTGATTCCTGGGTTTAAGAAGAGATATAGTGGCACTGGGGACTGTACAAAATAGATTCACTAGGCTGATGCCTGGGATGAAGGTGCTGACTTATTGAGCATGGCTAACAGGATAGACCTTTATTCATAACCTGATTAAATGGTCCCACTTCCATCTGAATGTCCATTGGGACAACACTATAAAATCGGTGGCACGGTGGCACAGTGGTTAGCACTGCTGCCTCACAGCACCAGGGATCCAGGTTCGATTCTAGCCTTGGGTGTCTGTCTGTGTGGAGTTTGCACATTCTCCCCGTGTCTGCGTGGGTTTCCTCCGGGTGCTCCGGTTTCCTCCCACAGTCCAAAGATGTGCAGGTTAGGTGGATTGGCCATGCTAAATTGCCCATAGTGTTCAGGGATGTGTAGCTTAGGTGGGTTATAGGGGGATGTGTCTGGGTGGGATGCACTGAGGTTTGGTGTGGACTTGTTGGGCCGAAGGGCCTGTTTCCACACTGTAGGGATTCTAAATCTTATTCATTAGAGGTTAGAAAAATGAGGGGTGATCTTATTGAAACATGGCAAATTCTGAGGGGGCTTGGCAGGGTAGATGTTGAGAAGATGTTTCCACTAGTGGGGGAGTTTTAAGCAGGAGACATAGTTACAGAATAAAGGAGCACTCGTTTAAAACTGAGATTTGAGGAAATCTCTTTTCCAAACTCCCTTTGTGTCAAGAATCTCCTTGCTTAGATAAGGTGACCAAAACTGCTCACAATATTCCAGGTCTGGTCTCACCAACGCCCCTGTACAATTTCAGCAAGACATCCCTGCTCCAGTACTTGAATTCTCTCGCTATGAGTAATAGAATCATTAAGCCATCGGCTTGAAGAATCATTTGGCCCACCATGTTTATGCCAACTCACACCAAACTATACCAAACCAATTTATTAGCCTACCCTGCCCTACCATTTTAAGTGCTCATCCAGATGCTTCTTTAATGTTTTAAGTGTACCTGCTTCCATCGCCTGCTCAGTCTGCACATTGCTTCCACCTACACCTTCTGGGTGAAACAACAACAACAATCTCTGTTCTCCTCTTAACATCTTGCTCTTCATTAACCTTATGCTCTCTGGTCTGAGACATGCCTGCCATGACAAAGAGATTCTCATGATCTACTCTCTCAATTTCTCTTAATTCTGTATACCTCAATCAGATTCCTGCTCAACATCCTCTCCTCCAAGGAAAAGAAACCCAGTCTGTCCTGGTAACTGAGACTTTTCATCCCAGTAACCTCCTGATGAAATTCCTTTGCACCCTCACTAATGCAGTCAATAATGAAGGCCAACATACCGTTTGCCTTCTTCACCAGCTGCTGCGCCCACATTCTTACTTTCAGTGTACAAGGACATCCAATTCTCATTGTAATTCCCCTTTCCCAACTGACCATTCAGATAATAATCTACCTTCTTGTTTTTGCTACAAAAGGGGATAACCTCATACAATACACATAATATTTCGTCTGCCAAGTATTTGCCCACTCAAATAACTTGTCCAAATCACACTGAAGCATTTCTGCATCCTTCTCACAGTTCACGTTCCCTTCCAGGTTTGTGTCCTCTGCTAACTTGGATGTATGAATCAATGAACTTCCATTATGCAACTTCCACCAGTACTCAGTGCATTCTTTTTCTCCCACAATCTCCCAGTTAGTGACAAGGCTCACATTAAATAATGGTTATCAAAAATCAATGACCACTTTCCCAAAACACTAGCCCACCCAATTAACTCCTCATATTCCAGTCAACCCAGAGATCCTGGTATTGGAGAGAGTCTATTAACCACTGAGATTTCATTGTCCAACAACATTTATTCCGCTGTTATACTCTTTCCCAGTCAAGCATTAAGTTCACAATGCCAAGGTGACTGCATAAATCCATTATTACTCAATTATACAACACTTTGCTAAGCTTGCAACTCTGATCATCCCCTCACTTACAGGCATTCCATTGCCCAACTCTCATCATCAAGCTGTACACAAACAGGACTGACCAATATTCCTTATTAACTAAGCCCCAATTGTGTATCTATCACCAATCACTGAGTTCCGGCTGTGAATCTGTCGCCAATTACCAAGGGTTGATTTTGTATATATCACCAATCACTGAGCTCTGATTGTGTGTCTGTGACCAATCACTGAGCTCCAACTGTGCATCTGTCACAAATTTCTGAGCTCTGATTGTGTATCTGTCTGATGTTCTGAGGAAGGGTCACCGGACCCAAAATGTGAACTCTGTTTATTCCTTCACAGATGCTGCCAGACCTGCTGAGCTTTTCTAGCAACTTTGTTTTTGTAGCAAACACTGGGCTCCAACTGTGCAGCTATCGTGAATCACTGAGCTCCGACAGCGCGTTGATCACCAATCACTTAGCTCTGATTGGGCATCTGCCACCAATCACTTAGCTCCAATTGTGTGTCTGCCACCAATCACTGAGCACTGACTGTCCATCCATGATGGATCACTGAGTTCCTACTGTGCATCTATCACCAATCACAGAGCTCTATTTGTGCATCTATCACCAATCACAGAGCTCTGTTTGTGCATCTATCA